CCCAGGTTCAAATGTACAGGTGTAATGAGTGCAATTTCGAAACTAGATACAAGTGTAATATCAAAAAACACCAACTGAAACATAAAGATGCTTCACAGGTGTAACGACTGCAATTATGAAACTAAATACAGGAGCAGCATTTAATATCATCTGCGGAAGCATAGCAAACCTTCTTAAATGCAATTGTGGCATTTTTGAGGAGACCTTCATTTTATGTACAAAAAAAGTTTGCAGGTGTGAATTACTGCCCTTCATGCAAAGTATAGCAAAAAATTTGACGGATTTAAGAGCTACAAATGTGAATATGACACCGATCTTAAATATTGGAATATTATTTAGTCATAATGTTATTAAACTTAACCAGGTATTCGGACAATTGAGGGTTTTTTCAGGAGTTTAAATAGGTAGGCAGTGCTACTTTTTGAAAAGCAATGAGTCACTTTTATAATTGAATAAGAGTTTTTAATTCAATTAATAGGAATTTTTCGTGACTTCCCGTTTGTTCAGCGGTAACAAGAAATCAGTTACCGGTGTATTTTCGTGTAATAGCGGGGATAGGGGAATACAAGAATAATCTACTCTTATGACGTCAGTATCTATAAAACGGAAACCGATTTTCTTACTGGCGTCTAGTGGTGAGTTACTGGCGGTTATTGCGATATAGCAAAAGAAAGGTTAAAGATACATACCCACACCGCGCAAAAGAAAACAAAAATGTATTCGGAAAACGACGAAAACATTCAAATTACTTTCAATTACTTAGGAGATGATTATACAGATCTGCAAACAGTTAATGTTCTGTTGATTGGTAGGTCCTTTCTTATTTATTTTATTATTGTTTTCTGAGTTTTATATACAGTTTGTTGCGGTATTGCTGCTTTACAAAAGTGTTGCTAATTTCCACAGAGCTAGCGACGCCTTCAAAGAGTAAAAATAAGAAAACCATTTTTCAAATTCCTGTAAGTATTTAGTTTGTAGCACCTGTACTACAAACTGAATAATTAATACTAAAAACTCATTCAATAATAAAACAGTGAAAATGTTGAAACAATATTAAAATTATGTTAGAGATAGAACAGTACGGTAGTTCAAGATTCACTCTCGATGATTTGCAAATTTGAAAAATTTTTTTTTTTTAGGGTAAACATGTATTTAAAAATTTTTTAGTCGTGCATTCATGTTCTACTCATTTTTCTTTATCTTCCCTTAAAATTAATGACATTATGACTGAATTCACAATAAAACTTAAATGTGTACATTTGTATTTTAAATACCGACACAATTTTCTATGTAGAACATGTAATATGTTATAGTGTTTTAGCTCTTTAGGTTCGTTGGTGTAAATTAAAGTACTCAGTATGTTACACACAAGTAGGGTTTCTGGACGAGACTTCTCGAAGCGAAAATTCCCGGGAAATCTGGCCTTACTATTTAAAAATCACGCGCGTCTTAAGTTCTTGACTGGAGTTCGTTTTGTTCATTCGTTCAATTCGTTTCTCGACAAATAACTGAACGGTTAAAGTGGTTTATCTACCAGCTCATGATTTGTTTATTTTAAGTTTTTAAGGCTTTAGTTTACTTTGATATATTTTTTTTTAATGTACAGGGTGATTCACTATATTTTGTTATAAAAAAATGTGAAATACAAAAGTTGCACGATTTTTTATGAAGTTTTCGAAAGTGATAGTAGAAAAACAAACGAAGTTCAAACAAAATGGTCGTGGATGTTAACTTTGTTAATTTAAATGGAACACCCTGTATATTTTTACATATTTGGATAGAACGTTCCTTGTCGAGCATAGTCATATAGGGTTTGTTGGGTCCATCTCTAATAATAGGCGAGATAATATTAAAAAACTAAATTATGTTTTTTTATTAAGAAAATAAGACATCTTGTAATTGTTAGACCTCTTTTAGGCGTTTCTGCCTTTTTTCCAATTACGTAAGGATTTAGATTTAGTTGTAATATATTTTGACATATCGGACATTGATATAGTCCAAAATGCGTATAGGTATTTTAAGTAAATCTCACTAATTAGACCGTGTGAGGCCAATTACTCATGGACAATCTTATATATGGTAGGTCGTGACAATGACAGGTAGTAATG